TCTTCTTTTTGATTGGCTGAGAAAACTTTCATGTTTGCCTCAGGTAACCTACATTGATGAGAAAAAATTAGTCCCTAAAGAAATTATATTTTTCAGAAAGCTTGCTTTCTATTTCCTCTCACTAAGGATAGCGCTCAATGTGACTGCTTTCCTGAACATTTCTCGCCCTTTGTAATCACCGACCCCTCTTTTGAGTTTAAGGGCTTGAATTGATGTGGTTCTAGTCAATAAGATGTGAGGGAGGGTTTTTCAAAAGATTCCTAAAAAAGAGATATAATAAGTGATGGTCTCTTGTTCCTTGCATTTCCTTGTTTGCATGTGATCCATGAAACTGTTCCAGGCATCTTGATACCAACCTAAGGATAATGCCAACACCAAGAATGGCAACAGAAGAAAAAGAAAGAACTGGGTCCTTTATAACATCAAGCAGATGATATTTCCATCTCTATAAAGTATGAGTGAGGGGACAATGAAGAGTGGATAACAATATAGGGTGCAAATATGTTGGGAAGAGCCTTAGAAGGCAATAGAAATTTGGAGTTCATTCAAGTTCCTCAGAAATCAAGAACTGCCAGAAATGTGTAATCCAGTAAGAAATATGATAAGAGTTTTATTTTTCAAAGAGATAACATTGATGGTCATGGTGAATAGATTAGATAAAGAGAAAATAGAGATTCTCTTGTATAAGATAAACCCAGCAAAATAATGGCATTATCACTTACTCTAGAGGAAAATATTGAAATGTTTGCTACCTTATCAGCTTGGCCTGTCAACTGAAGCTTTTGTTGGAATTGCATCAGAGCTCGGCCTCCCTTTGTCTAACACGATTTCCTTAGCGACCCTCTCACATGTGTTGATCCCAAGAACACAACTTTAAAAATATCCTATAGCTAGTCTTCATCTCATAGTTAGCTGCTGGGGAACTCAGCTTATAACAAAATAGTCAGGAGTGGTAAATACTGTTCCAGATCCATGTCTTTCCCTTGGAATGGGGTCGCTAATGGTTCCAGTGTTGTCTAATGTTGGGGAAGGGTATGTCAAATAAATGTCCATATTTGTCCCACCAAACCTTTCCTAGAGAGGAAACCACAGGGCATCCCTTAACTAAGAGAGCTCTTACAGAACACATTTAGAAAAGCTGCTTAAATTGTAAGGTATCACATTTCAATAGGTACAGTCTTGTCTGAACAAAAACTTTAAGTAAACATATATCCTGAATTTTGATACTTTTCAATTGAAAATATTCTCTCTATATATGTATATGTATATGTATATGTATATGTATATGTATATGTATATATATTAGTATTTTTATTGATTTCAGGAAGGGAGAGGGAGAGGGAGAGAGAAACATCAATGATGAGAGAGAATCATTGGCTGCCTCCTCCACGCTCCACACTGGGGCTCAAGATAACAACCCAGGCATGTGCCCTGACCTGGAATCACACTGGGACCTCCTGGTTCATAGGTCAACACTCAACCACTGAGCCACACTGGCTGGGATCATCCTGAATAACCAACTGAAGACTAGCTGACGAGAAGTCTTATAACCAACAATTTACAGAAGAAGCCACACGGAGACTGGTAGAAAGGGCGAAGACATGAAAAGGGCTGGTCCCAGTCCCATGGATGGACAGTGGCTAAGTTTCTGGAGCAATATCTCAGCTACGGAGGGATCCACCTGAGAAGCATGGAGTCTCAACCCCAAGGCAGGCTTGCCAGCCCAGAGCACCAGAGCGGGGAAGAGGCAGCATTATTTGCAATAGCCAAGGTTTGGAAGAGGCCCAAGTGCCCATCAGTAGATGAGCAGATAAAAAAGCTGTGGTACATTTACAGAATGGGATACTATTCAGTTGCAAAGGGGAAGGAAATCTTACCTTTTGGACAGCATTGATGGAACAGATGAGCATTATGCTAAGTGAAATAAGCCAGTCACAGAAAGATAAATACTATATAATTTCACTCAAATGTGGAATCTAATAAATAGAATAAATTAATAAACAAAATGGAAACATATTTATAGATAGAGACTATCAGCTATCAGAGGCGAGAAGGTTGAAGGGCTGGGTGAAAAGGGTGAATGGTGTAAGCAAAAAAAAAAGAAAAACCTCAAAGACACAGACAACAGTGTGGTGATTTCCAGAGGAAAAGGGGGTGGGGAGAGGTAGAAAAAGGTATAAGGGGGATAAATGGTGAGGGAAGGAAACTTGACTTGGGGTAGTGAACACACAATACAATATACAGATGATGTATTATAGAATTGTACACCTGAAACCTATATAATTTTATTAACCAGTCACCCCCAAAGTTCAATAAAAATGTAAAAATATTAAAAAATTATAAATTTCCCAGTGGAAAATATTCCCAACTAGTCACTCCTAATTAAATTATGTGTTGTATATTGCTTTCACTCTAAGGAGTACAAAGAACATCTTTCAGCCCCACAAAGTCCCAACTTGTGTGGTTTCTTCTGCAGAGTAGTTTGGACTTTTGCCGAGCGGCACTGAGCCAATGCAAACCGTGTAGGTCTAAACACTGCTGAAGTACTACATCTTGACACTTACTTGCTGCTGTGGAGTACCTTTTAACACTGGGGTGATTTATATAAATGGTAAAGGTGGGTACCTACATAAACAATTCGTACTTTACATGCATAACCCCTTTCTGAATTATACATGTTATAGAAATATCAAAAAAAAATATCAGTTAGGCCAAAAATCTCTAGCACAGACCCTAATTTTATAATGTGTTCAAATAATCATTTATTTCAATAACATCATAAGGGAAGTCAATATTTCATAAATATTTATTTTATTAAATATTAGCACATTTCAAGCATGGAATATGGCCAAAGAGCAATTTGCTTAAAATAGTCACAGAAGGAAATTGTGCTATCACAATTTATTTTAAGCAATGATCTAATACACTCAGTTCAGATAAATGGACTTTTTCTTCCAATCCCTAAAGGCAGAGAATAGCACAAGAATAAATTCCCTTAAAAGTCTGAATTGCTTTATTGCTATTATACTGAGACATATTTGGAAAAATGCTGTTAGCTATTTACTATCTCTTAAAGCAACAAAGTAGACTAAGATTTTTCTCTGGCCTCTTTTAAAAAAGATTCATCCTCTAAGATATTTACTGATGACTGAGATATAGCTAATACCATTTATAGGCTCTCCTAAAAGTATAAGTCCTTAAAAATGTCCTAAAGAAAAGAAAGCATACCCTTAAAAATAAATGGAATAGAGAATAATGGCAAGCTTTTTGAACTCCAGAACATAAGCAACTGCTTATTTCATTTTATTATAAACAATATCCAGGCTATAGAATAATATATTTTTAAATAAGGTAACCTTATGTGCTTACAAGTGTGTTTGTATTAAAACAAGTCCAAAATAACTACTGACCATATTTTAGCTCTCATACTTTCTTCTAGAAATACAGATTACGTGAAATGCATGCGTATACATTTGCATTCAAAGACTATTTCTTTATCAAATCTGAGTGTTCATAAGAAATAATTCCCTTTCCTTCAGTGAATCTCACTCAGAAATCTGTGGAAAAGTTAAAATTTAAAATGATTAAAAATAAAGCCATTATTTCGAATGCAGATTAATTCATCAATATTAATACATATGGAGATAAATCTTTTCCCTGGGTAGACTAAAGCCCTGAATGCTAATAATATTCAAATAACTAAGCAACTAATATTTAATTATTAAAATCATCTCAAAATTATAGAGTTGAGTTAAAGTGGTCACTGTAGGTGCATTCCAATGAGGCCACACAATCCTCATACCTATCAAAAACTCTTTTTGAATGGGAGGAAGTCTCTATTAACCTGAAACTTTGTGATGACTCCTAGTATTTTTCTTCTTCTTCTTAATTTATCTTTATTGTTTAAATTATTACAGATGCCCCCTCACCCTCACCCCCCATTGACTCTGCTCAACTGCACTCTCACCCCCTCCCTAAGCCTAGTACTTCTTTTGGAATACTTCCAGAAAAGAAGAAAAACAACAAAGATCCCTCATAGATACAGAATAGGCCATGTAGTATGTCTCCTCATCAGCCATTCCATCCCTTCTAGTCTTGGTATCTATCTTTGCTTGCATAGATATTGATATTTGCTAAAGTACTAGCTAATAATAATTACAAGGCCTAAGGTATGGTGCCCTTTGCTTTGGGTATCACAGTACTAGTTGAAAAGTAGGATATAGCAGCAATTGCCTATTGTGTTTGTAATAAGTAGTATATATTTCCTTAAGATTGTTCTTAATGAGCCCATAGTTAAGACATCATTAATTTTCACTATCTGAGTGTGACTGGGCCATAGGAGAAACCTGTTCAAATATAAAATGGGAGTATGGAGAAAAAGTGTGGTGCTAAATTGCTATCACAGTCACACTATCAATTTAAAGTTTGCTTATTTACAAAAATTGCTATGGATATAAATGCTAATATTGATGAAAACCTCATTTGCTAGCTTTATAATCCAAAATTTTGCATTCATACTGTATAATGTAGTACTATCCATTTATTACATTTTCATGCATTCCATTCATATTTTCAAACGTTATGGTATTATATTCATTCTTTTTTAAAAATATATTTTTATTTATTTCAGAGAGGAAGGGAGAAAGAGAGAGAAACATCAATGATGAGAGAGAATTATTGATCAACTGCCTCCTGCACACCCCCCACCAGGGATCGAGCCCACAACCCAGGCACATGCCCTGACTGGGAATCAAACCATGACCTACTGGTTCATAGGTTGATACTCAACCACTGAGCCAGGCTCATTCATTCTTAACAAAAAACATATATATGTACTGAAAGCCATAAAAATCTAAAATGTATATCAAAGACAGTATGTTCTTTTTGACATGTAAATGACTTACTGCACTTGACACCAGGACATTTGAAACAACACAGAGAGGGAGAAAGAAATCGATGAAAATAAATGCATCCAGGCAAATATATATAAATAAACTGACCTTCTTGAAATTTTTGTTTAAGTCAACCAGACTGAGGAGGAAGACGTGGTCCTTGGCCCCCAGCAGCAGCCTGCCCCCCTCCTCATCTAACAGGATTGTCTGGAAATCCAGTCCTTCTGATGAACCCAGAAAGGGAATGCAGCTATTTGAAAGCAGCAAGTCTGTGGGAAAGTGAAAGAAGAACAGAATGAAATAAAAAATTATTAGTAAGCACAATATTTATGTACTCAATACAGATATTGTCCCACGTTGTAAATGTATGAACATAGCATGAAAACTTCAATTTAGATAAATTCAAAGAAGATACACTTTTTAGCAACATACTTATTTAGAAATAGGTATAATTATTGTATTTTTATTTCATTGATACATTTATCTTAACTTATGAAAAATGGATATTAAGTAAATATAAAATATGTTGATGCAAAAGAAATTAAATGTAAAATATTTTTACAACCCTGTATTCACCTTCTTAAATTATAAATGAACTACTTAAGTCATAAAATAATGACAGTAATATTAGCACACTGATTTAATTAATCAATATATGCAAAGTAGGAACATGGTGGTGTAGGTAAACGCCTATACTTGTGACCTCCAACAACCACATCACAATTACAACTAAAATACAGAATCCAGAACCGCTGGAAAGCTGGTTGAATGGAAATCCTACAACTAGAGAAGTAAAGAAGAAAGCTCACTGAGACTGGTAGGAGATCAGGAGGCGCCAGACAGGCTGGTCCCGCACGCACATGGGCTGCTTTTTTAATCAGGAGGGAGATCATCTCAGCAGAGGCTGCCTGGAGGAGCAAGGGGTCCCAACCCCACATCAGAACCCCAGCCCAGAGTCCCAGAGCTGGGAAAAGAAGTCCCGATGGGCAATAAGAATTACAGGCTATAAAAACCAGTGCAGACTGGGGCTCAGTGACATGGAGGCTGCTGGAGACCCAGCTGTTCCTCTTAAAAAGCCAGCACCATGAACTGAACTTACAAGCTCCTGCTTCCTCTGAGGTCCAGCACCAGGGCAAGGCTTTGAAGGACACAGACATATAGAAGGAGGATCTGGATTGTCTGGCATGGGGCAGGAACTCAGGGGCAGCTTTCTTCCAGATGGAGGTGCTCGCAGGGATCACTGTTCCTATGTTGGGACCTCCCCAGTCACAGGGCTGACTGGCAGCCATTTCTGCTGGCTCCATCCTGGTGATTCCCTGATACCCAGCCTCATCCAATTCACAACCCCACCCAAGCTGTGAGCAGCAGCTTTTGCCTATGAATGGCCTGTCCTTGCTCAGGCTAAAATCTCAAACAAGCTGCAGCTGGGCCAGGGAGCCTATCAATAAAAGGCCCAAGAGCAGGCACCAGCAGCAGCCTGCCTTGCTTCACAGCTGGGCCTCATCCGAGCACTTCCAAACCTGAGACAAAGAGGATGAATCTGCAGATCTCTCTGTAGCCCCTGCTTGGTGGCCCCAGGCAATGGCTGACTGCACCTCCTGAAGACCCAATAGCCAGTATACCCAGTGGTTAGTGTCAGACCAAACCAGACTAGACCTCTACACATCCATAAGCAACACTTTCAAAGGGGCAAACTCAGTGAACACCAAAGCCCACTGAAGCCAGTCCTGCTCCATAGGGGTATCTCCTGCATAGCAGCTCTCCCACTGTGGTCACAGCTGGTTCTCATAGCCAATTGTCCTAGAGGTCAATTGCTCCCAGTAACACCAATAGTAATCAAGTCTCAACTACAATAAGACTGTGTTCACAGCCCATAAAGGGGTGCACCTAGAGCTCCCAGATCAGGTGATTGGGGAGGCTAAGCCACTGGGCCCTATAGAACACCTACTACACAAGGCCATTCTACCAACTCAAGGAGACATAGCAGCTGTACCCAATACATAGAAACAAACACAGGGGAGCAGCCAAAATGCAGAGACAAAGAAACATGTCACAAATGAAAAATGGAAAAAAGCAAATTACTGGATATAGAATTTAAAAAATCATGGTTATAAGGTTACTTAAGAATCTTCTTGAAACCTCCAAAACCTTCCATTTCCAAAAAAATAGAAAAGGACCAGTCATAAATTAAGCATACACTAACTGAAATAAAGGATAATATACAGGGATTCAATAGTAGAGTGGAGAATTCTGAGAATCAAATCAATGATTTGAAATATGTGGAAGCAAAAAACACCCAACCAGAAGAGCAAAAAGAAAAAGAGAATACAAAAGATATGAAGGTAAGGTAAAGAGCCTCTGGGACAACTTCAAGTGTACCAACAGTTACATTATGGAGGGTGCCAGAAGATAAGAGAGAGAAGATATTGAAAACCTATTTGAAGAAATAATGACTGAAAACTTCCCCTACCTGGTGAAAGAAATAGACTTACGAGTTGAGGAAGCACAAAAAGTCCCAAACAAGAGGAACCCAAAGAGGACCACATCAAGGCACATCATACTTAAAATGCCAAGGGCTAAACACAAAGAAAGAATCTTAAAAGAAGCAAGAGAAAAGCATTTAGTTACCTACAAAGGAGCACCCATATGACTGTCAGCTAATTTCTCAACAGAAACTATTTAGGCTAGAAGGGAGTGGCAAGAAATATTCAAACTGATGAATAGCAAGGACCTACAACTAAGATTATTCTACCCAGCAAAGCTATCATTTAAAATTGAAGGTCAGATAAAGAGCTTTACAGACAAGAAAAGCTGAAGGCATTCATCACCATCAAACCAGTATTATATGAAAGATTGAAGGCTATTCTTTAAGAAAAGGAAGAAGAGGAAAGAAAAATATAAAAAATATGAATAACAAAATGGCAACAAATACGTACCTATCAACAATTGAATCTAAAAATCAAAATAAACAAATAAGAAATCTAATGAATAGTATAAACTGGTGAATAAAATATAGGCCTGGGGTGGGGCAGGAACCAGGTGGAGGAGGAAATGGGGGGAAAAAGAGGGATATCTGTAATAATCTCAACAATAAAGATTAATAAAAAATTAAAAATATATATAGATGCAAAGTAAGCTTCAAACTAAGTGTGGTTACTGATAGCATTTCTTCCCCTCCTACATTTAGATTGATGCCCATGTTTGCAGGGTTACATTGTGCCTATTTTATATATTCAGGAAGACATAAACAAAGAAGCCAAATTAAAAAAAAATAATAATAATTCTGAAAGAGATATGATCCTGAACCAGTAATGGAAACAGAACTATAAAACAGGAAGGAACTTGAAAGTCAATTTATGTCAATTCTTTGATTTTATAAATGAAAGTATTTCCTTCCAGAAAAGTTAATTGCATGCCCTAGAAAATTATGTGGTGGCAAAGCTGATTATATAATCTCAGTCTCCATTTATCTTCAACACTTGCCTATTGGTCCTAATCTTTACTTTATTTATAATTGTGATATGGACAGACTCTTACTTAAGTTTAGGTCTGAGTTTATAGGAACCCAAATCTTTTCAGATTTTACCCAAGTACTTACCACACTCTCCCATTTTCTACAATTCTAGAGTATTAAATACCAATAAGGTGATAATATGTTCCATCGCTTATTAAAGTCCATCATGTTACTAGACTTTATAGCAAATCATTATTTTCAAGTAAAAGCAATTCATTATTAATTGATGAGAAAGGTAAAAAATAATGCCTCAGGGGCTCTGGCTGGGTATCTCAGTGGGTTAAAGAGTTGTCCTGATATGCCAAGGTTGTGGGTTCAATCTATGGTGAGGGCACATACAAGAATCAACCAATGAATGCATAAATAAATGAGTCAACAACTTGATGTCTCTCTCTCTCTCTCTCTCTCTTATCAGTAAATTAAAAAAAATTAAAAAAGATAATGTGTCAGAAACAGGCATCTATACTTTTAGAATGCATCATAGCAGTTTCAAACTCTGTAAAATAGATATGTAAGTCCCTTACATTTAAAGCCGACACATTCCATCCATCAACTGTGGGCTTCATTATTATTTCATGGTTTTGAGAATTCCCTTCACTCTCTTTTCTAATTTACAATGATTAAATGTTATTTCCCTTAGTCACTAAGATAGATTTTTGTCTTAGTTTTGAGAAGCAGAAAAGCTATATGCTGAAGAAGATGTGATGCGATGTGAATTCTCAAGTGAGTGTAGCTTCACCAAGTATAAATATCTTATTAATATTTATTAATCATGCTTTGTGTACATTGGATGAAGTTTGAACTTTATACTAATTATATTTCTATTAAGCTACATAGATCTTTAGTAGGTTTTTTTAGAACAGAGATGCAATGGAATAATATATTTTAGCATCTCTAAATGCAGTAAACTTATTTTTGCAGGGCTAATATCCAAAAAACAGTCCATGCTTATTGTAAAGTAGAACTGAGGAGAGAAGCATGAAATTGAGAGAATAGTTAAGACACACATTACACACAAACCTTCATTTAATCAGACAATTCTGTATCTTCTTTTGTTTCACAAAGAATGAAATGGGCAAAATGGAAAGTATGTATGGGATTTCCAAGAGTATATACTATTCCAATTAATAGAGAAAAATAGATTATATGATATAAACCCTTATTATTGCAAGTGTCCATGGACAATAATCAACAATTTTGAACCATACATTGCAATGTTAATTACAAAATGAAACATGGTTAGCCTAATGAGTAAGAGTGGGAGCTTGAGGTCTAGACCAAGAACAGTCTTGAAAGACAGGTAAAAGCTTTACAGGAAAGATGTAAAGAAAACTATATTCTAGGCCGAACAACACTAGAATGTACAAAGGCATATGTCAGCATATGTTGCAGTTACATCCTGTATTTTTAATATTTCTCCTACTCTGGAGTGTGAGTTCCTTTGGGGCAAAGACCATCTCATTAATTTACCTTTGAATCCCCAGCACCTAGCTCAGGGTCTGAGGCAAGTCAAGTACTTGATAAATATATGTAGCATTGAAGTAGTTGAGTGTGCTGGCACGGAGAATAAGTGGGGACAGTGAGATGTAAGGCTGGACATAAGGCAGCCTCCAGATAATCAGGGCCTCAGATGGCAGGCTGGGACTTGGTTATTATGTAGGTAACGGAAGCCACTAAAATATTTTATGCAGAAAAGTGACAAATACTCCAATTGAGTGTCAGAGAATAACTCTGGCGACAGCGTTCATGATGGAT